ACCAGTTAATCACTGCTGCATGACCAGTTACATCACTGCTGCATGACCAGTTAATCACTGCTGCATGACCAGTTACATCACTGCTGCATGACCAGTTATATCACTGCTGCATGACCAGTTACATCACTGCTGCATGACCAGTGACATCACTGCTGCATGACCAGTGACATCACTGCTGCATGACCAGTGACATCACTGCTGCATGACCAGTGACTAATGTTTAACAATGAGAACGTTTAAAGGTCATAAACCTAACTTTATTAATAATAAAATAATGGTAGTAATACTAAGGAAACATTAACATAAATACCACTCTGAGTACACCAACAGATCCTACATTAATTCATCTTCAACAACGAAAAAAAAACTTGAAAAATAAAGAAAAACACTAGTTTCAATTTAACCTTGAGTACAGGTAACATTTTAAAGAATCTGATCTTACATTTCCTTGCCTTCAATCCTGCAAAATCATCTATCACATCATCAGAATCAATGATTTTCCCTATATAGGCCTATTTGTACTCTGTAATCTGCAATAGGCTATATAGAAATGACGGATTTTTCTCTTATGTTGCTTTGTAGATGAATGGTTCAGAGAACCGACATGTTGATAAATTAGACACATGTGCAATTCTTGGGTATCTTTATTGAGGAAACGTTTCGCCACACAGTGGCTTCATCAGTCCATACATAGGAGAAACTTGAAGAACAGGAGGAGAATGAGGTAATCAGTCCCTCAACCTTGAGTCGATGTGTTCAGTCCATCAATCTTGATGGACTGATTGATGGACTGAACACATCGACTCAAGGTTGAGGGACTGATTACCTCATTCTCTTCCTGTTCTTCAAGTTTCTCCTATGTATGGACTGATGAAACCACTGTGTGGCGAAACGTTTCCTCAATAAAGATACCCAAGAATTGCACATGTGTCTAATTTCTCTTATGTTCCTGCAACATGGTTTTGGTCATTAGTGTTACCTTCTTTAGAGGCTCTATGGTGCCACCCCCTAAATGGTGTCACCAGGGGCGGCCCGCCGCCCGCCCCCCCCCCCCCCCCCCGCCTTACGACGCCCCTGACTCACAGCTCCTCCTAACTTTACCTTTGTTGTCCTCTCCATCCTTATCCTTTCATCCTGCATCAGTTTCTGCCCTGCAGTGCTGTATGACCCTAGTAGGTTTAGCGCTTCTTTTTTTATTATAATAATTCACCAGCTCCAAGACTGAGGGACTGATTATCTCATCTTTTGTACATAGTTCTACTGTCTTCAAATTATGCCATTGAATTTGTATTGATAAAACCACTGGTTGGCGAAACGTCTACAATAAAGATACCCAAGTGTTGCACAAGGGTTTCGATCATCAACTTGTCGGTTTTCTGAACCATTTATATTCAACCACATTAACCCGACTGATTCTGAGTAACACAAGACTGAAGGATGATAAGACACATGTGCAACAGTTAGGTAACTTTGTTATGAAGCCTACACAGTAGGTTTCTTCAGTCGAGTACAGAGGAGTTCGCAGAGGAGATGTAAAGACGATATAATCAGTCCATCAACCTTGAGGACGTAGTTTTGAGGGGGTCAGTCCCTCAGCCTGGAGAAGTTTTGTGTCTTAACCTGTGGATATTGTATATCATTTTCATATTCAAGACTGATGGATACTGGAAACACACACACACACACACACACACACACACACACACACACACACACACACACACACACACACACACACACACACACACACACACACACACACACATTGGTCTGGTTTCTGCAACAGCGGATAATTTAATTTGGTCTGAGATTGGGCTGTGGCCAGCAGGTACAGCAGAGCCATCTAAGTTGGGTTTGTGCTGGTGTTTGTGGTGCTGGTGTTTGTGGTGGTGCTAGTGTTAGTGGTGTTGCTAGTGTTAGTGGTGGTGCTAGTGTTAATGGTGGTGCTAGTGCTAGTGGTGGTGCTGGTGTTAGTGGTGGTGCTAGTGTTAGTGGTGGTGCTAGTGTTAGTGGTGGTGCTAGTGTTAGTAGTGGTGCTAGTGTTAGTGGTGGTGCTAGTGTTAGTGGTGGTGCTAGTGTTAGTGGTGGTGCTAGTGTTAGTAGTGGTGCTAGTGTTAGTGGTGGTGCTAGTGTTAGTGGTGGTACTGGTGTTTGTGGTGGTGCTGGTGTTTAGTGTTAGTGGGGGTGCTGGTGTTAGTGGTGTTGGTGGTGGTGCTGGTGTTTAGTGTTAGTGGTGGTGCTGGTGTTAGTGGTGCTAGTGTTAGTGGTGGTGCTGGTGTTAGTGGTGGTGCTGGTGTTAGTGGTGTTGGTGGTGTTTAGTGTTAATGGGGTGCTGGTGTTAGTGGTGCTAGTGTTAGTGGTGGTGCTGGTGTTAGTGGTGGTGCTGGTGTTAGTGGTGGTGTTGGTGTTGGTGGTGCTAGTGTTAGTGGTGGTGTTGGTGGTGCTACTTTGGCCAGTAGAGTACAGTCAGAATGATTGGGTTATTACACTCACTTGGTAGTTACTCTACTTAATTAATGGTTATATCTCTCAGTGGTTGTTACTCAGTGCCGCTGTTGACCTGGTTGTAAATAGGTGTCAAGCTCCTTGCACCTACTACCTCTGTTGACCTAACAGTAAATAGGTACCTGGGTGTTAGTAAACGGGTTTGGGTAGTACCCAAGATGAAAGGGGGGGGTTAAATATACCTCAGATAGGGCCGGACTTAGAAATAACCTGAGGTAGGATAACAGCTCTTAGCCTTTAAGTGATTGATAAATCCTGCGCAGTAGGCTCTATCAGTCTGATACAGAGGCCTGAGGATGGAGATATATACTGGAGACAGAGGAGAAGTGCAGTAGTTCAAGATATGGTCACATGTGGGCGGGTGAAAGAGGTCATGCCCATGAGACGGGCACCTCTCTAGAAGGGAGGGTGTTGACGTGCCCAGTAGTTAGGTTTAACATCTTCATTATGCACCCCAGGATCACTCAGAAGTGTTCAAGAAATGGCTAAGTATTTTATCCACAGTGGTATATTACAGACCATTCTGGAGAAATACCCTGACTTTGCTAGCTGTAAATAAAGCATTACCACATATGTGCATGTGTTAGTTACCATTTTGTCCTAGGCACATGTCGATTAGACACTAGGCCTGCTGTAGGTGTGTAGGTGTGTGTGTGTGTGTGTGTGTGTGTGTGTGTGTGTGTGTGTGTGTGTGTATGTGTGTGAGTGTGTGTGTGTGTGTGTGTGTGTGAGTATGAGTGTGTGTGTGAGTATGAGTGTGTGTGTGTATGAGTGTGTGTGTGTGTGTATGAGTGTGTGTGTGTGTGTATGAGTTTGTGTGTGTGTGTGTGTGTGTGTTTGTGTGTGTGTGTGTTAGTTACCATTTTGTCCTAGGCACATGTCGATTAGACACTAGGCCTGCTGTAGGTGTGTAGGTGGTGTGTGGTGTGTGTGTGTGTGTGTGTGTGTGTGTGTGTGTGTGTGTGTGTATGTGTGTGATGTGTGTGTGTGTGGTGTGTGTGTGAGTATGAGTGTGTGTGTGAGTATGAGTGTGTGTGTGTATGAGTGTGTGTGTGTGTGTATGAGTGTGTGTGCGTGTGTATGAGTTTGTGTGTGTGTGTGTGTGTGTGTTTGTGTGTGTGTGTGTATGAATTTGTATGTGTGTGTGTGAGAGAGAGAGAGAGAGAGAGAGACTCAGCAATCAACATTTGCACCAATAACTCACTACAGTTGTGACCGGGTGTGGAAGTGTGAATTGCTCATTACTCTAAAATTTGTTCATGATTGCAGCCATGTATAAACGTAAGTAACCATTCTTACAGTATTCATTACCTTTGTAACTTGTGAGTTCATTACCTTGTACCTAGTTCAGCCATCAAAACTTTGGAGCCCGGTCCCTGGACCCATTGTGTACCTCTGTAATCTGTAAATACCTTTGTAACTTGTCATGATTGTGACTAGACCTACCTGGAGTTCATTACCTTTGTAAATTGTGAGTTCATTACCTTTGTAAATTGTGAATTCATTACCTCTGTAACTTGCTCAGCTGTCAAAACTTTGAGGCCCAGTCCCTGGACCCATTATGTACCTCTGTAATATTTTTACTACCGCCCACAGGATGGGTATGGGGTGCATAATAAACATATTAAACTAACTAACTAACCCCAGGATCTGGGGTCTAGGATCTGGGCAGCAAAGTTTTGACATCTGAACATGTTACAGTGGTAATGAACTATCTACATGTTTATAACTATGGTAATGCATTATTTAAAGTGAGCAACGTCACAGTATTTTTCCAGAATGGTTTGTAATATGCCACTGTGGATAAAATACTTTGACATTTCTTGAACATTTCTGAGTGAGTTGTCCCTGAATTTATTAATTTGGTGCCCCATAGACAATCTGTTTCTCATGGAAGGTCTTCTGTCTCATTGACGGCTTTCTGTCCCATGGATGGTCTTATGGACGGGACTTTCATTCAAGACATGCTGGGCTATCAGTAATTACCTGACATTTAGCCAACACTAACAAAAGTACATCATCCGTCGTCAAGGAAAACACAGCAGAGATTCAGTTCTTATTTTACAGATACAATGTAGCTTTCGGATAGATGTATATGCTGTATTTAAGGTAATTTATATAATTTTTGCAATGGATTTTAATGGTCCCTAAAACAGTTTTTAGTGTGATTTCTGAAAATATTTTAGATATAAAACACGAAAAAATTTGTATTTTTTTGTAATTTCTGGCATATGGATACACAAAAGGCCCAGGAACTAGGCCCCAAAAAGGTTAACAGGTGTAGATATGTACATATAAATCCCTATGTACACCTGTTAATCCTTTTGGGGCCTAGTTTCTAGGCCTTTTGTGTATCCATATGCTCTTGCGCTACCCTCCACAGGATGGATATGGAGTGCACAATAAACTCGCCACTTCCCTGGCAAAATCAAAATCTGGATTTCTTTGTGTCTCATTTTTGTCTTTTTAATGTTAATGGAATGTTTGTGTTGCAGGCGGCGCATGCAGTGTTGCAGCAGCAAGAGACAGGAAAACCTGTGTACAAAGTCAAGAATATATCCCTGAACACACTGTGTCGTTCATACAATGCTCCCGTCAACCCTCGCAAAGATCAGGTCAGTACACACACCAACACATATGTAGATGGATGGTTCAGAGAACCGACATATTGATAAATTACACATTTGCAACTCTTGGGTATCTTTACTGAGGAAACGTTTCGCCACACAGTGGCTTCATCAGTCCATACAAAGGAGAATCGTGAACAGGAGAAGAATGAGGTAATCAGTCCCTCAACCTTGAGTCGATGTGGTCAGTCCATCAATCTTGAATAGAATACAGCATATGAGTGGAGAAGTAGCTTATATACCGTAGGCAGGAGAGGTGCAGCAGCTCCTACGACTGCTGCACCTCTCCTGCCTACGGTATATAAGCTACTTCTCCACTCATATGCTGTATTCTATTCAAGATTGATGGACTGATCACATCGACTCAAGGTTGAGGGACTGATTACCTCATTTTCCTCCTGTTCTTCACGATTCTCCTTTGTATGGACTGATGAAGCCGCTGTGTGGCGAAACGTTTCCTAAATAAAGATACCCAAGAGTTGCAAATGTGTCTAATTTATCAACATACCATATCTTCTTCCTGAAGCATGAGTGTACACCATACCATGCATGGGACTGAGTGTATACCATACCATGTATGTATGTATAATGTTCACCAAGACCGGGGTCCAGGCAAGGATCTTAATCTTGGGATGACCCGTCACTGGCTCCCGAAGGAGAACGGGTTCTGCTATGTTGCAACGTATGCTGCTCAGGCACTGTTCTGGACAGATGATCTGGTGCGTCTCATAGCGACAACACCGTCTGTAATATGAACATTGGATCATTTACATGTGCATGCTGAGATAGGCATATGCACACACATGCACTCCTAACTGTGGACACACTAGCGAGGAGGAGGATATGTTATCACAGGCAACAGCTTGTCTGGGGCGTTGACTCCATGGTACGCTAGGGTAGCCGCAGTCCTCTCTGGGTCTTCTTCGGGAGAGGACGTCAGTGCTAGTTGCCTACGGAGTGCCTCAGTAACTTGGCACTCCAGGGATAGTGCGTTAGGGGGCGCTGGACAACGTGCTGGCAGTGCCGGCACATCTCCTCTGCCTTGTCTACCATCATCTTGGCTGTGGAAAAGCCCAAACGAAGCCGATGGAAGGCGGTACACTGCGCTCTGGACCAGCTTCTGTCATATGGAAGGGGTTCTCCCTGAGTCGCTGCTCAGTACCACTGTTGAGATGGGGTATCACCTAGGACCTCCCCCATAAGTTTAATTGCTCTGGCGGCCACCAGTTTGGTCTGGCGTAGGCTAATGGGGACGGTAATCCCAACATGTGGATAATCTGTGGCTGCCGTGGCCGCATCATCTGCAGCCTCATTTTCCCGGATGCCAGCATGGCTGGGGATCCAGTTCAATGTCGATCTGTTACCCTGAACTTCTAAGACTGTCATTATGCTCAGAATCGATGTGATGAGGTGACCGTTGTCCTTTGGTTGTGGATGGGAGAGGGCATTGATTGCAGAGGTGGAGTCAACATGTATGACAGGTCGAAGCCGATGTCGTAGGGCATGTGACAATGCCTGCTGAATCGCCACTAGCTCAGCTTGAAGGATCGTACAGTGGTCAGCGAGTCGCCAGCCTTGTGTGTGACCATTGTACTCACCTAATTGTGGTTGCAGGGGTCGAGACTCGGCTCCTGGCCCCGCCTCTTCACCGACCGCTACTAGGTCCTCTCTCCCCCTGCTCCATGAGCTTTATCATACCTCGTCTTAAAACTATGTATAGTTCCTGCCTCCACTACATCGCTTGCCAGACTATTCCACTTCCTAACTACTCTGTGACTGAAGAAATACTAACATCCCTTTGACTCATCTGAGTCTTCAGCTTCCAATTGTGACCCCTTGTTTCTGTGTCCCATCTCTGAAACATCCTGTTTATGTCCACCTTGTCTATTCCACGCAGTATTTTGTATGTCGTTATCATGTCTCCCCTGACCCTCCTGTCCTCCAGTGTTGTCAGACCGATTTCCCTTAACCTTTCTTCATAGGACATTCCCCTTAGCTCTGGAACTAGCCTTGTTGCAAACCTTTGCACTTTCTCTAATTTCTTGACGTGTTTGACCAGGTGTGGGTTCCAAACTGGTGGAACCCACACCTGGTCAAACACATCAGGATTGTGGTATATGCCAGCTGATGCTCTTTCTGTCAGTGTCGACAGAGCCATCTGTGAAATATACTGCACATGTGCGTCACTGCCAGTGCCATGCTTGTCACAACATAATTGCTGAGGGTGTCTTGACTACAGAGACGCTTAGAGGTAGGTAGTTGCATGACGCAAACATCGGCCGGATCTGGACGCCAGGGAGGTGGTGGATGATACCCAGCAACAGGAAGATCACAACTCTTCTCAAGCAGTAGTTGTATAGGCAGCAGCTTCCGCCCAGCAGTACAAAACGAACGAATCCAAGAGTAGTCCTTGAAGAGAGTTGGATCTTATGTCATGGTTGCCAATATCCGTCTTCTCAGTGGGTTACCTTGCTGCCGCTGCAGATTCGTGGCTACTCTGCAGGCGTTTATGTATCTTACTCTGTCAGCCAGGAAAGGAAGCCGGGCCTCAAATCTGAGACATACTGTGTTGGTCCTGATGGGGGCCCCAAGCATAGTTCTTATCGCCTGTTTTTGTACGACCTCCACCCTTTGCCTGCTCTGCAGAAATAGATGAGCCAACGTCGGTGCACCGTAGTCAGTGAGCGAGCGCAGAGCTTGTCCCAATATGACTAAGTTTTTAGCAAGCCGCTAACCAGACTGAGAGTCGAAGATCTAAATTAATTTTTTATGAGAGAGCCACAGAATTTGGTAAACACAAGCCTATCTGACGCCAAATGACTTCGAACAGGCGATAAATGACATGCCCATGCACTCTGCCCCAGGGCCAGACTCGTGGAACTCCGTGCTCATCAAGAACTGCAAGAAACCCCTATCACGTGCTTTTACCATCCTATGGAGAGGGAGCCTGGACACGAGGGTCGTCCCACAATTACTGAAAACAACAGACATAGCCCCACTCCACAGAGGGGGCAGTAAAGCAATAGCAGAGAACTACAGACCGATAGCGCTAACATCCCATATCAAAAAAATCTTTGAAAGGGTCCTAAGAAGCAAGATCGCCACCCATCTAGAAACCATCAATTACACAACCCAGGGCAACATGGCCTTAGAGCAGGTCACTCTTGTCTGTCCCAACTACTGGATCACTACGACAAGGTCCTAGATGCACTAGAAGACAAAAAGAATGCAGATGTAATATATACAGACTTCGCAAAAGCCTTCGACAAGTGTGACCATGGCGTAATAGCGCACAAAATGCGTGCTAAAGGAATAACAGGAAAAGTTGGTAGATGGATCTATAATTTCCTCACAAACAGAACACAGAGTAGTAGTCAACAGAGTAAAGTCTGAGGCGGCTACGGTGAAAAGCTCTGTTCCACAAGGCACAGGACTCGCTCCCATCTTGTTCCTCATCCTCATATCTGACATAGACAAGGATGTCAGCCACAGCACCGTGTCTTCCTTTGCAGATGACACCCGAATCTGCATGACAGTGTCTTCCATTGCAGACACTGCAAGACTCCAGGCGGACATCAACCAAATCTTTAAATGGGCTGCAGAAAACAATGTGAAGTTCAACGATGAGAAAATTCAATTACTCCGATATGGTAAACACGAGAAAATTAAAACTTCATCAGAGTATAAAACAAATTCCGGCCACAAAATAGAGCGAAAAACCAACGTCAAAGACCTGGGAGTGATCATGCCGGAGAATCTCACCTTCAAGGACCATAACATTGTATCAATCACAGCTGTTAGAAAAATGACAGGAAGGATAATGAGAACCTTCAAAACTAGGGATGCCAAGCCCATGATGACACTCTTCAGGTCGCTTGTTCTATCTAGGCTGGAATATTGCTGCACACTAACAGCACCTTTCAAGGCAGGTGAAATTGCTGACCTAGAAAATGTACGGAGAACCTTCATGGCGCGCATAACGGAGATAAAACACCTCGATTACTGGGAGCGCTTGAAGTTCCTGAACCTGTATTCCCTGGAATGCAGGCGGGAGAGATACATGATTATATACACCTTGAAAATCCTAGAGGGACTAGTACCGAACTTGCACACGAAAATCACTCACAACGAAAGCAAAAGACTCTGTAGACGATGCAACATCCCCCCAATGAAAAGCAGGGTGTCACTAGCACGTTAAGAGACAACATAATAAGTGTCAGGGGCCCAAGACTGTTCAGCTGCCTCCCAGCATACATAAGGGGGATTACCAATAGACCCCTGGCTGTCTTCAAGAAGGCACTGGACAAGCACCTAAAGTCGGTACCTGACCAGCCGGGCTGTGGCTCGTACATTGGATTGCGTGCAGCCAGCAGTAAGAGCCTGGTTGATCAAGCTCTGATCCACCATGAGGCCTGGTCATAGACCTGGCCGCGGGGGCGTTGATCCCCGGAACTTTCTCCAGGTAAACTCCAGGTATATAGTACAAGCGAAGTCTATCTTTGCTCGCCCCTTCACGTGCCTCGTCAAGGCTCTCATGGCGTTGAGTCTGAGTACAGCACGGGATCAGACATACTCGGCCTGTTTCTGAAAGGTCAGCTTTTTATCAGTGTAGATTCCCAAGTATAGGTAGGAACCTGTCCACTCAAGTTCTATATCCTGAATACGTAATCTGTTCACAGGATCTGGTCCCTTGAACATCATTGCAAGAGATTTCTCGGCGGAGATCTTGAGGTCTAGTTCTTTGCAAGGCTGCATTATTAGGTCCAAAGCTCTCTGGGCTTGTCGCTCCCAGATTGCCTTTCCCATTCACTACGAGTGCAAGATCATCAGCATAGCTGAGGAGCTGCGTAACACTATGAAGGGAAGGCTCACGAGTTCCTGCATAAGGATGTTAAACAGGGTAGGACTGAGCACACTTCCTTGTGGCATGCCGTTTTCCAGGGTTTTAAAGGAAGAGTAGTATCCCTGGAAGCTGACACAGGCCTGCC